TGCGTCCTCCCACACCCAGCCAGATGGAAAAGCGATACTGTAGTGTAGAGGCAACTGTAAACTGGACGCACTGGAAACAGCAACCCTGGCCAGCTGCCTTCGAGGGAGGAGGAGGACAGTAAGAGAAGCCTGTGAGTATTTTTTTTCCCCTCTGACTTTTGTTGGGAAAGGAAAACCCGGAAGGAAGAACCGGAGGAAAGAGGAGAGCCATTTTGGGGCAGGAAAGGCGAGGAGAAGAAGGGATCTCCTGGTGGTGAGAAGAAGAAAAGCAAGAGGAAAACGGTGGCTCCCCATCAAGTCCCCCCTCCTGCCTTTTGAGTCCTTTGAGATGTTTGCAGGTGAATTTGGGGAGCAAAGCACGTGGGGGAGCGTTGCCTGAGGGAGACGATGCCAGGGATAAATTCCTACTGACGGGATTCCCGGCCCTCTAAATGGGGGTATGGAGAACCAGAAGCATGAAGAGCCTCCCGACGCTAGAGGGGCAGCCCTGATGGCCTCCCCCCCCGCCAGCACCCGGGCCTCTCTCTTGTCAGGCCTGTGAAGCTGTACTGCTGCCTTCCGTTGGAAACAACAGGAAACCCTGCCCCACATGGGTTTAATTTATTTGCTTGTGTCAAATATTCATCTCAAGGGAACAGGAGGTTTTTGTCCTTTGCCTCAGGCAGCAGGATATCTTGGACCACCCCACCCCTCTTGAATGGCTTCCCCTTTCCTTTCTGCCTCTTTGGAGGACCTGCCCTGAGTTTGAGCAGAGGATTTGCTTTCTCCTCAGGGCGAAAGAGTCACAGCTTCAAAACCAAAGCAGTGCAGGTCCTGTCTGGCTTCTCTGATTCGGAGTCCTCCTCTTCCTCCTCCTCTTCCAGGGTTGTAAAGAACTGCAAAGCAACACACAAAAGGATCCATGGTTTCCCTGGTGTATTCTGTGCACAGGATGGGACCTTGAGGATCGTTTGGAGAAGATCCCATCTGAAAAACACACTCAGTCATGAGGATCCATTTTTTTTAATTTCATAAATCTGCTTTCTTCCCTCTCTTAGTATATACATTATATATTTTAACATGCATGGAAAGGATAGAAAGGGTTAACAAAGAAAGGCAGCCTAGGATATTTTTGTTTTGCTCCTGATGCCTCAAAGGAATCAGACCATCAGGTGGGTGGAGGGATTTTTAAAAGACCAGGAAGAAGTTCCCCTCTGATGGGTTTTTTTCTCTCTCCATGTGGGAGAGCTGATCCCAGGAGAATCAGAAGGGAGAAGCCGCTGCTGGTTCCTTCTCTGAAGCCAGCCTGTGGCATCTTTAAAGGTCTCAGGCCTTCCATCCTCAACATCAAATGTAGACCCTAAAAGGTGTACTCATATTTTGTGAAGCAGGTTGGGGTTGTACATGGCAAAAAAAATAAGCCAGCCAAATGTATTACTTTGCACAGTCTTCCTCAACGCAGGGCAGGAAAATGGGTTCAAGCCTGTTTTTCAGCATTAATAATCTTTGAACTTGCTGCCTTCTTCAGTTGATGGTGCTTTGTACCTTTATCCCTGAAAGTTGGGCGTGATTAAAAGGGGTTTAGTTTTATCAAGCATTTTTAGGATTATGATCTTAATCTGAGAGCAGTGTATATGACTGGCTTCCCACCCCTTTTCTCTCTCCAACAGGGGGTGGAAGGATGCCAACAACTAGGATTCCGTCATCTCTTCCTTGTGATGGAACAGAACCTGATGAGGTATGGACAAGAAGAATAAATGACACTTTGTTTATTTAAATCCCTGTACCTGTATATTAAATCGCTTTAATCCCTCCTGAGGCTGACTATGCTTTTTTTATTAAAGGCTGTACGTTTTTAATACTTGCATAGGAGCTGCTAAAACATGGTCCTCTCCTTTTGTAAATAGCAATACCAGTTGCTGAGGAACAACAGGGGGAGGGAAAAAGATAGCATGGCTTCACTAACAATCTTGGCTCTCTCAGAAATAGACAGATCTTTTCAAAAGGAAAATGATTCCTGTCCTGAAAAAGCTCAAAAAAAGTACTACTTTTTTGAGCTTTTTCAGGACAGGAATCATTTTTCTCTCTCTCTTTCTTCCTTTTGAATAGATCTGTCTGTTCCTGAGAGAGCTAGGATTGTTAGGGAAGCTATGTGGAATCAGGCCAAAGGCCAATCTCGTCTACCATCCTGTTTCTCACACAGGATCCCTAGATGCCTCCAGGAAGCTCCCGAGGCAGGCCAACCACCAATATCTTTTCCCCTCCCCCTGTTGTTCCTCAGCATCTGGGATTCAGAAGCCTCTCTTTCTGCAGGGAGCACACACTCAGAGTGACTAGTAACCCTTGGTAAACATCTCCTCCCATAGTAAGGCTGTGAAGGCCACCTATGGAAGATAAAGCCTGTGATGTAAGATCCAGCCACGTCTCTTTTTAAATTATTCTTCTGGTGTTTAAGAGGATATCTTTATGACAGCCACGAGAAAGACCTGCTTTCTTTTTTCACTTAGGATCCAGTGACCTTTGAGGAGGTGGCCGTGCATTTCACCCAGGAGGAGTGGGCGCTGCTGGATCCTGACCAGAGGGCCCTCCACCAGGAAGTCATGGAGGAGAACTGGAAGACTATCTCCTCTCTAGGTAAAGACCCCCTCTTTCCCCAGCTGACCCTAATCTCTGTAATTAGCAATGCATTGATAACCCTAACATTAAGGGCAACAACAATCCTTCTGTTTCAAAGTGATGTCCCAACTCAACACTAGCCACTACGGGATTGATATTTCCAGAGTGGGCAATCTGTGGCTCTCCAGCTGTGTTGAATTCCAGCTCCCCTCACTGTAGCCAACTTTGCCAGTGTGGAATTGTGGTGAGAGTAGTCTTTTCCTCAGCATCTGAAGAGACAAAGATTCACAGATTGCACTAAAATATTTTCAAGAGGGATTGGGCTTTTGATCCTGAGAACTTAATTGTGGAACATTGTGTGTGATGGTTTAGTAAGCTGAGTGCCAAGGGAGAGGGGTGTTTCGTGGTGTGCTGTACTTTCCCGATTGCATGGTTGTGACTATTTTAGCTGTATTTATAAAATAAATGTTCACTACATTCTTTCTTAATATAGTAGGACCCCATTATCCACAGGATCAGTATCCGCTGATTGTCCTACCACAATCTGAAAATATTAAATGAAAACCATATTAGAGATGGGGATATTTGTAAATGGTGTGGCCAGCAGAATTCCTGGTGCAATTAGTGGGACCTTTGTGGTGCCAGGATGTGTGAGCGGATGGGCCTGTCCTGCGGGCCGGACTCTCATTAGGTCCACCTGGGATGGGGATATTTTTATTCATTTATAAATGCAAATATCCCCATCTCTAATATATATTGGACTAGTCCACAGATATACAAACTGGCACTGGAGCCTGAGACAATGCTATGTATAGAAATCACTATTAAAATGGTATTTTGTGTTTTTCAGTACCTGGGGGTGCCAAGGACTGATCCCTAATTGATATGGGGCAGAGGGTCCTACTGTGTGAAATCTGAATGAATTAAATTTACATTTATAAAGCTTTGCCTTTTAATGTACTTGTACCGACCCCCTCAGTTATGTGGAAAAACATCTCAGATTTACAGAGACTTGAAACAGTGCAGACCAGCTGGGTTGTGGAAATTACTTCTGCTTCCTTGGGTGGCAGCTACTTCTTGGAGAAATAGGAGCTACCGTATGGCATTTTGAGATTTACCAAAATTTCACAAGTGTGGAAGTTTTGAAATTCTCTGGAATTCTTCATAGGTTACATAGAATTTCAGGATCACCCACTCTTCTTTCAATGACCGTTGACATTCTTGTGGTTTCAGTTTTATTGATGAGTCTAGTGGCAGTTTCAAGATACGCTGCTCTACAAATCACACAGTTCCTTTGCAAGAACTTAGAAAGTGGGGTTTGTGGATATGTGGAAAGTGCCAGGGTGGGGAAGGCCATTTAAAAGAGCAAATAAAGAGGAGGAAAGTTGCCACCAATGACACTTAATGCTCTGATGTGTGGTTTGCCCATCAATTTTAGAGCCGTCTCAGTCAACTAGGAAAAGTTCACTGCCATACCGGCCCACCCTGACAGGATCCTGAGCTCCAGTCTCTGCCATATTCCCAAATATGTTCCTAGGTTGGTTTCACATGAAAGCAAAATAAAAACATCTAGTAACCTGTAACACAAAAGTGAAATTAGGACTTGGTAAGATTTTAAGTCTTAATACAGAGATTAAAACAAGGGATGAAATAAAAAGGCCTTCATTTGGACCCTACAAGAGTTTAATGAACGCATCAGATGCCAATGAAAGAAAGCAAAAGTATACAGGCACTTGTCTTATTTTGATATATGTAGAGGTAATGCCAAAAGTAAAGAGGCAAAAAGGAGGCAAAAAAGTAAAAATGCATAAAAATCCTTCTTTATAAAACCTTGTTCTCCTTCTACATTTGTTTTCCTCTTCATTCAGTCATTTTTGCCTTTATCTTTCTTCCCAGTAGATACCTGGAAGGAACAAAACATATTTCTCAAATGTGGAAAGAGTTGTATAACTAAATATGAGCTTGCCAGACACGAGGGAACCCTCAAAGAAAAAGAAAGCTGTACCCACGAGAAGCCCAATGAATGCCTTGTGTGTGGAAAACATTTTGCCATGAAGATATCATTGATACTTCACAAAAGGATCCACGCAGGAAAGAAGAGCTTTCTGAGTGAAGAGACTGGTAAAGATTTTGATTGCAAGTTACACTTTTTGAGCCATCAGACACTCCACACAAGAGGGGAAACATATAAATGGCAGATGAGGAAATGTTTTCCTCAGAATTCAAGTTTGGTAAATCATCAGCATATCTACAGACAAGAGAAAGCCTACCAATGCCGAAAGTGTGGGAAATGTTTTGCTCAGAACTTACAACTTGTGAGCCATCAAGCAGTCCACACACAAGGGAAACCGTATAAATGGCAAATAATGAAATGTTTTCCTCAGAATTCAAACCTGGTAAATCATCAGCACGAAAAAGCCTACCAGTGCCAAGAGTGTGGGAAATGTTTCGCTCGGAATTCAAACCTAGTCAGTCATAAGAGCGTTCACACAGGAGAGAAATCATACAAATGCCAAGAGTGTGGGAAATGTTTCGCTCGGAATTCAAACCTAGTCAGTCATAAGAGCGTTCACACAGGAGAGAAATCATACAAATGCCAAGAGTGTGGGAAATGTTTCGCTCGGAATTCAAACCTAGTCAGTCATAAGAGCGTTCACACAGGAGAGAAATCATACAAATGCCAAGAGTGTGGGAAATGTTTCGCTCGGAATTCAAACCTAGTCAGTCATAAGAGCGTTCACACAGGAGAGAAATCATACAAATGCCAAGAGTGTGGGAAATGTTTCGCTCGGAATTCAAACCTAGTCAGTCATAAGAGCGTTCACACAGGAGAGAAATCATACAAATGCCAAGAGTGTGGGAAATGTTTTGCTCAGCGCTCACACCTTGTGTATCATAAAAAAGTCCACACAGGAGAGAAACTTTACAAATGCCAGGAGTGTGGGGAAAGTTTTATTCGGAGCTCACAGCTTGTGATTCATACGAGAATCCATAAAGGAAAGAAACCATACAAATGTACGGCATGTGGGAAATGTTTTGCTCAGAGCTCACACCTTGTGTGTCATAAGAAAGTCCACACAGGAGAGAAACCCTACAAATGCCAAGAGTGTAGGAAATGTTTTGCTGACAGTTCATTGCTTGTGAATCATATGAGGTTCCATGGAGAAGAGAAACTGTACAAATGCCAGGAGTGTGGTAAATATTTTGATTGCAATTCACACCTTGTGATTCATAAGAGGGTCGACAGAGGAGAAAAACCATACAAATGTACAGAGTGTGGGAAATGTTTTGCCCGTAATTCATTGCTTGTGAGCCATAACAGAGTCCACACAGGGGAGAAACCATACAAATGCAAGGAATGTGGGAGATTACACTTTGTGATCCATCAAAGAGTCCACACACAAGGGAACTCATGTAAATGGCAAATAACAAAATGTTTTCCTCAGAATTCAAACCTGGTAAATCATCAGCAAGAAAAAGCCTACAAGTGCCAAGAGTGTGGAAAATCTTTTTCTCGGAGCTCCAACCTAGTCAGTCATAAGAGAGGCCACACAGGAGAGAAACTGTACAAATGCCTGGAGTGTGGGAAAAGTTTTATTCGGAGCTCACAGCTTGTAATTCATACGAGAATTCACACAGGAGAGAAACCATACAAATGCCTGGAGTGTGGGAAAAGTTTTATTCGGAGCTCACAGCTTGTGATTCATACGAGAATTCACACGGGAGACAAACCATACAAATGTACGGAGTGTGGGAAATGTTTTGCTCAGCGCTCACACCTTGTGTGTCATAAGAAAGTCCACACAGGAGAGAAACTGTACAAATGCCAGGAATGTGGGAGATGTTTTGCTCACAGTTCATGGCTTGTGAGTCATATGAGGGTCCACAGAACAGAGAAACTGTATAAATGCCAGGAGTGTGGTAAATATTTTGATTGCAATTCACACCTTGTGATTCATAAGAGGGTCCACACAGGAGAAAAGCCACACAAATGTACAGAGTGTGGGAAATGTTTTGCCCGTACTTCATTGCTTGCGAGTCATGAACAAGTCCACACAGGGGAGAAGCCATACAAATGCCAGGAATGTGGGAGATGTTTTGCTCGTAGTTCACATCTAGTGAGTCATAAGCGAGTGCACACAGGAGAGAAACCATACAAATGCCAGGAATGTGGGAGATGTTTTGCTCATAGTTCAGGTCTTTTAAGGCATAAGAGAGTCCACACAGGAGAGAAACCATACAAATGCCAGGTCACAGCTTGTGATTCATAAGAGAATCCACACAGGAGAGAAACCGTATAAATGCTAGAAGTGTGGAAGATGTTTTGCTCAGAATTCTTACCTTGTGGGCCATTACAGAATCCATGCAGAAGGGGGATCCTTCAAAACCCAGTAACAAGGAAATTTTTTTCCTTACGGTTTGGATTTGACATATTGTGAACCACACAAGAGAGTCACCATTATAAAGGAACCATACGAATGCCAGGAGTGTGGAATTTTTTCTTTATTAAAATTGAGATACTCCTGAAAGAGAAGGATGCTCCATCAGGGAGAGGCACTATGGTGTTTAGTAGTAAGGGATTAGAGTTGTAACTACTAATTATGGTCCCTAGAGTTTCAGATGGCATTGGTATACACAGAGAGCCAATGGAGGAATTTGGAGGAACACCTTGTTTGAAGCATATAACTGCCACACTGGTTCTGCACTTGTTCTATTTTCCTTCACCTGAGGAGAAGAGTATGGACAGGATATCCATGCTTGAGATAGGTAGGTCCACACACTTCCAGCAGCAAAGATCAATGGGCAGGTTCAGACCCCTCAAAGAGCATCTTGCTTCAAAGCCCCAATCACCTGACCCTTGCAGCATTCTGTATTGCATCTTCCAAACACTGACCTTGAGCCAAGAAGGTGAGTAGGGGAAGTGTGTGAATGCACCAGATCCTTCCTTTCTCAACTACTCATTGATGTACAATGGGAACAACAAAGTCCCAAGAAATGTACAGTGGTGCCTTGCTTGACGACGTTAATTCGTTCCAGCGAAATTGCTGTAGAGTGAAAACGTCATCAAACGAAATGAAAACCCCATTGAAATGCATTGAAAACCCCTCGATGCATGCCAGTGGGCTGAAAACTCACTGTCCAGCGAAGATCCTCCATAGGGGCGGCCATTTTCGGGTGCCTGTAAAGCGAAAAATGGCTCCTATAAACAGCGGGGAGCCATTTTCTTCAGCGAGCGGACATTTTGAAAACCTGACGATCAGCTGTTTTGATTGTCGTAAAGTGAAAAATCGATTCCTGAAGCAGGGAACCGATCATCGCTAAGCGAAAAAAAAAAACCATTAAAACATCATTTTGTGATCGCAATTGGGATCGAAAAAACACTGTTGTGAAGCGAATATGTTGTTATATGGGGTAATCATTAAGCGGGGCACGACTGTAAGGCTTTTCACCATTGGGGCTCTGTTCTGTCCCTGCCAGTGTAAAATATTGGGATCAAAAGAAACCTATGCTAGGGTTTGGTCAACTGCCATGCTGAAAGGTCTGGGGGACGTATTATGATTGTCAGAAACTCAGCCCCATTCTGGGAAGAGAGTGGGAGTCTCTGTAGATTCAGGGAGTACAAGAAGAGCCCCTTAAACCCTAACTTTAGTTCTAATCTTAGTTCATTCAGAAAGAAACGGCACTCTCAGGATAAGGTTTTTCTGTTAGCTTTGTACACTGGCATTCGTTTATTGCTGGATGAACTTACCAGACCTTCAGAGAAATCTATATTGTTCTTCGCAAATTGTTACTGCAATTAAAGAAATCTGATGCTAAAGCACTTGGAGTTGAGCAGAATGAGAAATTATCAATTAGAATCCTCTTGGGGAGTCTTTCTCACATTAAATGCAATGATGGGAGTCAACAGCGGTGAATCACCAGTAGTTAACAATTTGCTACTTATATCTCATATTATGCATCAATTTATGCAAGTGGTCAAACAGCAAGGGACGTAAGCATGAACTTGTGAATTACTATCAATTAGCTGCCACAGTTCACACCAATGCATTGATACTCGGCTGCCCCACTGAGAGGATTCTAACCAGCATGTTCTATTTGGTGTAATCAGTAAGGAGCCATGTACCATGAGTATGCATGGTTTAGATTAAAAATTAATTTTTGAAACAGCAGAAATTATATCAGTATTATACTGGAACTCATTTTATCTGTCCGGGAAATGTCTGTTAAAGCTTGGTGTCAGTGATGCAACATGGATAGTGCTTCCCTAAAACATCTCAGAGGCGCCCTTTGGTGACTTCTTTCTGACGGAATATTAGGATTCTGATTAGTTGACCTTTGGGAGGAAGAATCTCTGATCTTGGATGATGTTCACATTTACTTAAATTATACTCCTGTGACTACGGATTTTGTGACAATCAGTTAAGATGGGACCTGTATGTCCTTGTGGTACAAAATCTCCTGTTTCAGAGCTGAAAAGCAAAATATGTGCTACTAGCCCTCCAGAAAAATGACAATGCAAAGTCTTGCAGGCCTGTGGCCTGTTTTTTTTTCAGCTATGCAGAGCGTAGCCTTAGAAAATAACTGTATACTTCCTTTGAAAAGATTTAGGAGTTCAGTTATAATATTTACAATGGTTGTTTACGAAACAGTCATTGGGAGGTGATAAGGACATCCTCATATAGATCATGGCTACCTCTCCCTTTCTGTCTCCATAACTCCATATATAAGAATACCCCTACTATCTTTGTTTTTTTCTCTCATTAGGAAACATATTGACTTGCGTTTATTATTCAGTAAGTACAAGTAAAAACAAAGCCCCTTCCCACCCCAGCCCAGTTTACCTTGCTAAAGGCCTGTCTGATGAAGGCATCATAATCTTGAAAGTTTCCTCCCTTTTCGGTGCTATTTTTAATTGGCCTCATAAGACGTATTGGTTATCCCTACCTCTGCACCACCTGATAGGAATCCTTCCATTTTCTTCTTCCCGCTGCTGTGCTTCCTGAAGCCTGGGACTTTTCCTAAGCTCACTTAAGAGTCTGGAGGAGGGCCAGATAGTGATTGATCATGCTCCGGAGGTACAGGTATGCTCCCTGGTTACTGTGCTTGAGCGTCACATTCTTCCCAGAGCTGGCTTCCTCCTGAGTCAGATATTCCTTCCTTTCCCCACAAGCATCCCCATCCTCTGTTTCTCTTTAAAAGAGTCTCCTCTGTTCTGGCAGAAAACATGGACTCCTCCCTGATGAGCTTCCAGCCATTGCTAGAAGGAGCTGTTGGGCCAAAACACTCACCTGTGGTGGTGGAGAAGAGCAGGACAGTGGTTGGTAACATACAGTATATGAGGCTCCTTACCACTGCCACCCTCCTCCCTCCATTGCCCAGACACGCCATGGTCCTGCCATAGGAATAAATCCTTGGCCAGGAGGTAAGGAGGGGTGGTGCCTATTTGAGGCTTCAGCCTGGCGAATGGCTTGGTCAGCCCTGCCTCAAACGGTTTTATCTTCTCCTCCAGGAAGGCGACCAGTTTGTCCTGGCAGTGTGGTTTCCTGTATCTTCAAGCAGGAAACCAAACACAGCACAAGTTGCAGGTCACTAGAGCACCTTCATTGTTGTTGTCATGCCTCTTGGTTCTATATTGCTTGTTTACACAGCACTCCTAGCCTTCCCTTCAAACTTTTCAGATAAATGGTCTCAGAAATTGGTTGTTGTGGGTTTTTCGGGCTCTTTGGCCGTGTTCTGAGGGTTGTTCTTCCTGACGTTTCACCAGGCCTGTCCTCTGAAGATGCCGGCCACAGAGACTGGCAAAACATTAGGAAGAACAACCTTCAGAACACGGCCAAAGAGCCCGAAAAACCCACAACAACCATTAGATCCCGGCCGTGAAAGCCTTCGCGAATACATTGAACAATCTCAGAAATCGTTTCTTATGGAACCCCCTTTTCAGATTACACTCTCACTCATAAGCAACCAGGGAGGGAGGGCATCTGTAGACCTGGCAGCTCTCACCAAGCAAGTCAAGGGCACACTTCCTCTCAGCAGGAGTCCCCGGGAGGGAGGTGAAGACGGGCCTAAAGCCACTGTCCATGTTGGAGGTCCCACCCCTTTCTTAGAGCCAGTTATTCAGAGCAGAGCACACTTCTGCAATTGCACAAAGTGCCGAAATCACTCAGGCAACTCTCAAAACACTGCAGAACACAGAGAACTAGCATGTCCAATGATAGCAGAAATCCAAATGAGAGACAGGTCTTATGTTAACAAAAGAGGAGATGATCTCTATTCTGATTGCAATGCTCAATGCATTTTAGCATTTGGCCATTTTCAAGAGCTATATAAAAATAAAAATCCTTTTGTTATAAACAACAGGTTCGGGACAACTGCAGCGTCCTATAACCATCTGTCTATAACTAGTACAATGGTGCCTCGCATAGCGAGGTTTAACTAGTACTGTACTTATTTTCATACTCATACAGGCAATATTGTATCTATGACTATAGCAGTCCCTACTACAAATCCTATTAGCTGCTAGCTGCAAATAAAGTGTATATTAGGGTCCCTTGTGAGGCGCTTTGGGTCCCTTGTTGGGAGAAACGTGACATATAAATAAAAATAATATTGTCTCTCCAGGAATTGTGGTTCCCAAACCAGCAACGCCAGGGAGCTGGACAGGGGGCAGATTGGATTTGTCTCCAGTGTGGAAGGGATTGTCACTCTCGAATTGGCCTCCTCAGCCACACTAGACGCTGTTCCAAGACCTCCATTCAGAGCACGTTAAAGTCTCTCGAGACTGAACGATGCCTACACATTAGTTCCATTGTTGTACTCCTCTAAAGTTAAAGAGTTTTTTCCCCCTGATATTCAGGTCTATGCGATTTCGTCGTTATACGGTGCGCTCGTTAAGCGAGGCACCACTGTACTTATTTTCATACTCATACAGATAATATTGTATCTATGACTATACCAGTTCCTACTACGAATCCTATTAGCTGCTAGCTGCAAATAAAGTGTATATTTGGGTCCCTTATGAGGCGCTTTGGGTCCCTTGTTGGGAGAAATGTGACATATAAATAAAAATAATATTGTCTCTCCTGGAATTGTGGTTCCCAAACAAGCAAAACCAGGGAGCTGGACAGGGGGCAGATTGTATTTGTCTTCAGAGTGGAAGGGATTGTCCCTCTCAAATTGGCCTTCTCAGCCACACTAGACGCTGTTCCAAGATCTCCATACAGAGCATGTTACCCTAGTCTCTTGAGACTGAACGATGGCTACACATTAGTTCCATTGTTGTACTGCTCTAAAGTTAAGAGTTTTTTTTCCTGATATTCAGGTGTAATCTGGCTTCCTGTAACTTCAGCCCATTGTGAATTTTGTTGTACAGGTGTACTGTGTATATACTTACAATGACAATAAATTTATTTGAATTATGTGTCCTGCACTCTTGGATGGTTGAGAACAGAAGGCTAAATATGTCTAGTTCTTTTAGTCTTTCCTCATAGGGCTTGATGAGTAGTAGATGTTTCTTCAAAAGTCCTGGTGGCTGATGTTAAAGAGAGTCCAAAGGTGGTGCTGTTGAACTGCCATTGGTCGCATCTTACCTAGTTGAGGAAGAATTAGGAAAAGGCTGATACAAAAAAAGATAAAATTGTAGAGCCTTTGTGGATGAAGTCTTTCCCTGGCACATCGTGCCTTTAAATAAGTTCCTTTTCCTGACTCGTGCAATGGAGACATTGGCAGAGAAAAGAGGCTTGCTCATCCATGTTCTCAGAGAGCGCATCGGCTAGGTCTGTGTTTGCTCTGCCAGGAGTCTGGCTTCGCTTCAGTCACGTGACAGGAAGAGGAAAATAAATTTTAAACCTTTTTTTTTTTCAAAAAAAGTGCGCATTTGTCCTCCCACACCCAGCCAGATGGAAAAGCCATAGAGCCAACTTTAAACGGGACGCTTTGGAAACAGCAACCCCGGCCGGCTGCCTTCGAGGGAGGAGGACAGTAAGAGAAGCCTGTGAGTAATTTTTTTGTTCTGATTTTTGCTGGGAAAGGAAAAAAACGGAAGGAAGCAGTGGAGGGAAGAGCCATTTTTGGGGGCAGGAAAGCCAAGGAGAAGAAGGGATCTCCTGGTGAGAAGGACGAAGGGGGAAGCTTTGACTCCCCATCTCTTCCCTTCCCCCCCCCCCTTTGAATCCTTTGAAATGCTTGGGAACTTTTGCAAATGAATTTGCTGAGCAAAGCACGTGGGGAGCGTTACATGAGGGAGACGATTTATTTAAATATTTTGTTTATGTCATGTGTTCATGTAGAGGGAGGAAAGGTTTTTGTCCTTTGCCTCAGGCAGCAGGATGTCTTGGACCACCCCGCCCCTCTTGAATGTGTTCCCCTTTCCTTTCTGCCTCTTTGCAGGACCCGCCCTGAGCTTGACCAGAAGATTTGCTTTCTCCTTCTCCTGGCTCCTCCGATTTAGAGTCCTGCTCCTCCTCCTCCTCCATGGTTATAAAGAACTGCAAAACCCTGCACAAAAGGATGGGTGCTCACAATGGGACCTAGGCTTTCAGGATTCCATGTGAAAAATCCTCAATCATGAGGATCCATTTTTTTATTTCATAGATCTGCTGCCTTCCCTCTCCTAAGATATATTATAGTTTTCCAATATGCATGGAAAGGTTAGAAATGGTTAAGAAAGCAAAACAGTCTGGGTTATCTTTATGTCACTGCTGATGTTTCAAAGGATTCAGGCCATCAGGTGGATGGAGGGATTTTTAAAAGACCAGGAAGAAGTTCCTTTGGCCCTCTGATGGGTTTTTCCTCTCTCCAGTTGGCCCTGTAGAACAGCTGTAGTAGGCATCCTTCAGTCTTGAGAGACTATGGTAACATGTTCTGTATGGAGGTCTTGGAACAGCGTCTAGTGTTGCTGAGGAGGCCAATTCGAGAGTGGCAATCCCTTCCACACTGAAGACAAATACAGTCTGTCCCCTGTCCAACTCCCTAGTTTTGCTTGTTTCGGGACTGCCTCTTTGCCTCAGCCTGCTGGACAAGGGTTTCTTCAAACTGGGAGAGGCCGTGATGCAATGCCTGCCTCCAGGCTGAACACTCAGATGTCAGGATTTCCCATCTGTTGAGGTCCATTCCTAAGGCCTTCAGATCCCACTTGCAGATGTCCTTGTATCGCAGCTGTGGTCTCCCTCTGGGGCGGTTTCCCTGCACTAATTCTCCATACAGGAGATCTTTTGGAATCCGACCATCATCAGAAGTGAGGAACAGCTGCTAGTTCCTTCTCAGAAGGCAGTCTGGGGCATCTTTAAAAGTTTCTGTTTCCTGCCGAACCCTGGACAAAAGTCCAGGCGGGGAGAAATTCTCAAAACTTTTTTGCCAGCAGGAAACTGTCAATCGTGCTGTTTAGGGAAACAAACCAAAGATTTCCTCCATGCCATTCTGTAAGCAGGCTGATAGTCCGTTCCGTATATCTGTAGGCCAGTCCGATCCACGTGTCCACATGACTTTTGCCTAGTGTACCTTTATCCCTAAGAGTTAGGCCTGATTAACAAGGGTTTAGCAAGCACTTCTAGGATTATGATCTGAATCTGAGACGAGTGCATTTGATTGGCTTCCCACCTCCTTTTTCTCTCTCCGGCAGGGGCCGGAAGGATGCCAGCAATAAGGATTCCTTCATCTTTTCCTTGTGGTAAACAAGAATCGGATCAGGTACGGACGAGAAGATTAAAAGACACATTGTGTATTTGACTCCCAGTATATAAAATCCCTTTAATCCGGGCATTCCATTTTAACAAAAGGCTCCACATTTTTAATGCTTATATAGCAAGCTATTATAATATGGCCTTTTCCTTAGGTGAAATAGCAGTACTTATCATTATTTTCCTCTTCTCATTCCCTTGTTCTGAATAGATCTCTCTCCCTCTGTTTACTTCTGGCAGAGCTAAGGCTGTAGGAGGAGCCATGCAGCATCAGGCCAAAGGCCAATCTAATCTAGCATCCTGTTTCTCACACAGGATCCCTGGATTCCTCCAAGAAGCTCCAGAGGCAGACCAGCCACCAGTAGCTTTTTCCCTCCCCCTGTTGTTCCTCAGCAACTGGGATTCAGAAGCCTCTCTTTCTGCAGGGAGCTCAGAGTGACTAGTATCCCTTTGTAATTGTCTCCTCCAGTAGTAAGGCTGTGATGGCCACCTATGGAAGTTAAAGCCCACAATGTAAGATCCAGCCACTTCTGTTAATTATTCTTCTGGTGTTTAAGAAGATATCTTTATGAAACCCACGAGAAAGACCTGCTTTCTTTTTTCACTTAGGGTCCAGTGACCTTTGAGGAGGTGGCCGTGTTCTTCACCCAGGAGGAGTGGGCGCTGCTGGATCCTGACCAGAGGGCCCTCCACCAGGAAGTCATGGAGGAGAACTGGCAGACTGTCTCCTCTCTAGGTAAAGTTTCCCCAGCTGATGGTAATCTCTTTAATTAGCAATGCGTTGATAACCCTAAAAATAAGGGCAACAACAATCCTTCTGTTTTGAAGTGATGTCCCAACTCAACACTAGCCACTGCAGGATTGATATTTCCAGACTGGGCAATCTGTGGCTCTCCAGCTGTGTTGAATTCCAGCTCCCCTCACTGTAGCCAGCTTTGCCAGTGTGGGAATTGTGGTGAGAATAGTCATTCATCGAGATCGGAAGAGATAAAGATTCACAGATTGCACTGGAATGTTTTCGAGAGGTGAATCGTCATTGGTAATGGGCTTTGGATCCTGAGAGGTTAATTGTGGGGCACTTGTTAATAAGCCCCTTGATGGTTTAGTAAACTGTGTGCCATGGAGAGGGGCTTTTAGTGTTGTGCTGTACATTTCCATTTGCTTGTTTGTCATTGTTTTAACTGAATTTATACAAAGAAACTTTCACTGCATTTTTAATATGTGATTCAAATTAATTATATTTTTATATTTATAATTCATTGCCCTTTTATTGTAATTGAGAGTTACAAGCTAAACAGAGATATCCCGTCCCCCCATGTTAGCATGGATATTAGTATTTTGTTAACATATTACAAGGTAAATTGAGACTCTTGCATTGCTTCCCCACCTCCAGTTATCTGGAAAACATCTTGGAATTACAGAGACTTTCCAGTGATGAAAATGTTTAATGTATAAAGATGATGAACCTTGTAGGAAATGATTCATGTGATGTGTGGGTCAGAACAGTCATAGGCATAACTCTTAGGATTTTGGCTATTTATTTTAGTTACATTTTCCAAGTTTTTAATATAATATTTTAAAATTCTTTTTAATATTTATATATTCACTGTTTTAGTTTTAAAATATTATATTTTAATTCTTTGGTCCTTTTAAGGAGAAAAGTCAGGCAAAAATAGGTTAAATAAATAAACAATTAATAAATAATATCATAAGAATCCTCCCCCCCAAAAGCCGTAATTTTTCCTTTGCTCCTTCCCCAGTAATAATAAAAAACAACAGAAACAACACCCATGCTTAATTCTTTAATGTCCAGATCTTAATGCAACAATCAATTGATGTCCACCACTTGATTTAATGTACATATTTGTTAGTTGCAAATATCCCAGTGTTTCTACAGTGACTTGTAAGTACAGGACATGACTGTCTTCTTTTCTTCACAACAACCCTACGAAGTAGATAGAGTGGCTCAAGGTTCTCAAAAGGGTTTTCTGCTTGGTCACAATTCAGACCTGGATCTTCCACGTCCCTGATCACGTAAACAGCTCTGTAACAATGGCTTTCATGCTTTTAGTTTATTACACATCTTAATAAGGCACTCAACACAAACATTTTTCTTACTGAAAATGTGTGCTGGAATAGCTGCATGAAAGTTTGAATGTCACACAGTAGCTTTGAATTTAAAATATCTTTGCTCAAGACATCAAAAGTTCTGCTCAGTGGTTGGGAAAAATAAGAGGGAACATTGAATCCGCTTCGTTGGAAAACCTTCTCTTTTTTTCTCGATGTTTGGTATTCTTTTCATTCAGTCATTTTTGCATTTTGTCTTTGTTCCCAACAGATAACTGGAAAGAGAAAAACATATGTCTCAAAAAGAATTTTACAACCCAATTTGAGCTCACCAGACACAGGAGAACCGACAAAGAAAAAGAAAACTGTACCTGGGGGAAGCCCAATGAATGCCTTGTGTGTGGAAAACATTTTGCCATGAAGAGATCATTGATACTTCACAAAAGGATCCACGCAGGAAAGAAGAGCTTTCTGAGTGAAGAGACTGGTAAAGGTTTTGATTGCAAGTTACACTTTGTGAGCCGTCAAAGAGTCCACACAAGAGGGAAAGCATATAAAAGCCCGGTGAGGAAATGTTTTCCTCAGATTTCAAAGTTGCTAAATCATCAGCATATCTACAGACAAGAGAAAGCCTACCAATGCCAAGAGTGTGGGAAATGTTTTGCTCAGAGCTTACAACTTGTGAGTCATAAAAGAGTACACACAGGGGAAAAACCTTACAAATGCCAAGAATGTGGGAAATGTTTTGAATGGAATTCCCACCTTGTGAGTCATAAGAGAGTCCACACAGGAGAGAAACCTTACAAATGTACAGAGTGTGGGAGATGTTTTGCCCACACTTCATTGCTTGTGAGTCATAAGAGAGTGCACACAGGAGAGAAACCATACAAATGCCAAGAGTGTGGGAAATGCTTTGCTCAAAGCTCACAGCTAGTGAGTCATAAACGAGTCCACACAGGAGAGAAACCATACAAATGCCAAGAGTGTGCGAAATGCTTTGCTCAAAGCTCACAGCTAGTGAGTCATAAACGAGTCCACACAGGAGAGAAACCATACAAATGCCAAGAGTGTGCGAAATGCTTTGCTCAAAGCTCACAGCTAGTGAGTCATAAACGAGTCCACACAGGAGAGAAACCATACAAATGCCAAGAGTGTGCGAAATGCTTTGCTCAAAGCTCACAGCTAGTGAGTCATAAACGAGTCCACACAGGAGAGAAACCATACAAATGCCAAGAGTGTGCGAAATGCTTTGCTCAAAGCTCACAGCTAGTGAGTCATAAACGAGTCCACACAGGAGAGAAACCATACAAATGCCAAGAGTGTGCGAAATGCTTTGCTCAAAGCTCACAGCTAGTGAGTCATAAACGAGTCCACACAGGAGAGAAACCATACAAATGCCAAGAGTGTGCGAAATGCTTTGCTCAAAGCTCACAGCTAGTGAGTCATAAACGAGTCCACACAGGAGAGAAACCATACAAATGCCAAGAGTGTGCGAAATGCTTTGCTCAAAGCTCACAGCTAGTGAGTCATAAACGAGTCCACACAGGAGAGAAACCATACAAATGCCAAGAGTGTGCGAAATGCTTTGCTCAAAGCTCACAGCTAGTGAGTCATAAACGAGTCCACACAGGAGAGAAACCATACAAATGCCAAGAGTGTGGGAAATGTTTTGCCGAGAACTCACAGCTTGTGAAGCATATGAGAGTACACTCAGGAGAGAAACCATACAAATGCCAGGAGTGTTGTAAATGTTTTGCTCAGAATTCCCAGCTTATCTTTCATAAGAGGCTTCACACAGGAGAGAATCCATACAAATGCCAGGAATGTGGAAAATGCTTTGGACAGAAAACACAGCTTGTGAATCATGTGAGAGTCCACACGGGAGAGAAACCGTACAAATGCCAGGAGTGTGGGAAA